AAATATTGATTTACCACAACTTAAATTTTGAATTTCGGGGAATGATGTAACTTTTTTTTTAATTGTTGCTAAAATTGACCCTACACTATCTAGAATGAATACAAATAAAACAAAAATATTGATATGTGAAAGATGTACAGGTAGAGTTAGAAATAATATAAAAATAGGAGACAATAAACTAGAAGTTGCTGGTTTTCGATTATTAGTAAGGAGTCAGATAACAGATTGGAATAATCGTTAGAGATAAAAACAAGGAATAATGCAAGGTTGAGTCACTTTTAACTTTGAAAAAAAGGAAATCACTTTTGTGCTGGAGGTCGGTTAATTTAGAAATTCGAAAAAGATTATTAAAGGTATGTGTTTGGAGCACGGCTCTCTATGGGTGTGAAATATAGACCGGAAAAGAAAAAGTTGGAAGCGTTTAACATATGGTGTTGTAAGAGGATGATAAAAATACTGTGGCTAGAAAGTGTTAGAAATGAGGAGGTATTAGAATGGCGAGATAGTTGTAGGTTGCTATAATTTTCGAAAAATGCAAGTAGATAAGTTACGAAGAAGTGGAGATGCGAGTCCATCTAGTCCTCGTTTTGAAGATCTTATGACGATCGTGATAATGATAAGTAAAATTAGCTCTTACAACGAAATTGGTCAAGAACCTTAAAAAAATGAAGGAGTGCCCCGCTGGCCTTTACATATATTGAAAGTATTGAATAGCATTGAATAGCCAAAGGTATTAGTCCAGGCGGTATCTGCTTTGGATTGGGCGAAAAGGATAGTATGCTACATTTTCGTTAGAATCTCTCCAAGTCATAAGGAAAAATAATTTTACTATGCGGATACATAAAACTGTAGGTTAACTTTTTAATAAGCAATGAAAAAAATTAAAAAACCCCGCTTTTTTCTTCAAATTACGGCGTATATGTCAGAAACTTCAGAGAAAAGTCATAATATGGTAGAAAGTTACGTAATTAAATTTTTTCTATAAGGTGCAATTGTTTGCAAATCACAAAATTCATTTTTTCCATTACAAAAATGTAAAAAATTGCAAAAGAAACGTAAAAATATACTAATAGTCTAACTATCTTTCCTTACAACTTTTGGAAGTGATTCTAACAAAAATTTGGCATACTACCCTTTTCATCCAAAAATAGGCGTTTTCATGCAGATACTACTTGGACTATAGTTAGACGTCAAACATTGCACATACGCATTTCTGGGATAAGAATAATTAGAAACGGTATATATATAACAAGAAAATTACCAACTTTGTTTCGTTCATTAATAGTTCAATGTACGTGGAAAAACCCACTACCATCCTTGTAGTAGAATAATGATGTCGATTTTTATTTTAATTTTATATAACAAATAGTTAATTTTACTAATCCCCATCCGATATTAATTCTAATGGTATATGTCATATTGGAAAGGTTTTTTTATTCATTACGTTAAACTTTACAAAAGAATTTCTATATAACTATATTACTAAATATCGACATTGTCGGAAGATAGTGTCGATTTTTTACATTTGCAGATACCATCCATCTACTACACTGTTTTTATGTTTACAAGAGAAAATATACGATTACATATATGTATTTGTAATATATTAAATATGTACTCCTACCATTATTTTTGNTACACAATTTATTAACCCATCATAACACTTTTATTTATTAGTAATTTTTAAATTTGGTTCTACAACAACGCTATTGGTAATGCAGACAGACTCAAGTAAATGATCGTATTAGTTCAATATTACAATAAGAATATAGAATAATCATAAAGTAATTAACCATAATAACAATTATTACATTGTCTACAGTACAGCAGCCTAATAGCTCTCATATTTTTTTGTTTATATCAATGCAAAGCACAGTTACTATTATTATTATTGAGGACCATTGAAATAGCTAGTGGCGTTAGGAAAGCGCTCAGGAGTAAAGTCTGAGTTATCTCTAATTCCTGCTCTCACATTACTTCGTAATAACTCTCTGTATGCTGATTGAATATTTATATCGGACCCTGCACCTTGCGCTACCACCTCTAACGGCGCAACTGAAGCCAAACCAGTTGCTGTTACTGCTCTGCGCACACTCTCTACAAAAGCAATATCATTATCACAAAAACAAATTTACATTTTCTTATTATAGTATTTTGAATAACTTACCTGAAATTACTTGAGACAGACTACCTCGCGGTTTAGCAGCTGTCACAATCTTCCTCCGTTTACTGGGCATTCCCGACAAATAAGCGTCACTGAAAGGAGCTTGAGAATTTTGTCGGCGTTGTCTCTGGGCATCGCGAGCTATTATAGGAACCCAATCCTTAAAAATGCAACACCAGATATTATGTAAATTTTCAATTATTTTAGGTGCATTAGTAGCTTACAGCTGGTACGTCATTATGCCAAGTTTCTGATCCTAATACAACTGTAGGAAGAGGTTCCCCGTCATTTTCCTTATCCCCGAGATTTATTACAGAAGATGGCGTAATTTCAGTTGAACCGCTCGCTCCACCACTATTGTCATCTCGATCGACATCGTCCACTTGCATAGCCTAGAAAGATCAATATAATTAATTTTTCTGTAGTCCACATAAAACATTTTTAACCATTTAAAATATTGATTTACCACAACTTAAATTTTGAATTTCGGGGAATGATGTAACTTTTTTTTTAATTGTTGCTAAAATTGACCCTACACTATCTAGAAACTTACTTCTCCTTGCTGATCCTTTTGTGCAATGGCAACAACATTTGACGTCACAGCATCAATCTTACGAACTATATATGGTTGTAAAACACTATCAGGAACGCCTAGATTAGACAAGAATTGCCTCATTTGTGTTCTAGTTGTCATTAATGTCCACTGTTGAATCTCTCTTGGAATACCTCTCGTATGATGACTCTACACCAAACAGAATTATAAAAATAGCGTAAAAAATTACAAATATTATCTATATCTTACAACTATCGAATCCAAAACAACTTCAACACCAGGTTGTCCGTTCCTACTCGCACGCAAAATCAACGCACCAAATTGTTTCGCAGTTATTAAGCACTGATCAACAAGCATTCGAAGAGAATTAGGGCTTCTTGATGTGGCCAAAGAAATTATATTTGGCAAACGAGCACGAAACAATGATTGGGCAGACCTCACTAAGTCGATATCGTCACGCGTGGGTAATGCATTCTAGAAGAATTAATAAGAATTATTTTGCAAAGAGTACTATGGAGGCAAAGCTAGGGCTAACTGCAGAAGAAGAAATAGGATTCTGCGAAGTAATTTTTGTGTGTGAAGACAGTGAAATAAATGAGATCTAGGGCTGATGATGGGGGGGAAAAGGGTTACATATGTAGATGGAGATAATGTTTGTAAGGGTTCTCTTCTAGGCTTAATACTTATATACAGTAACTTCGACGAAGGAGAGAAGATGGTAAACAAGTGGTGTGTGTGCCCGAAGGAAAGGAAAAATAATTTGGGATAAAAATAAGACAGAGGCCTAAAGATAGGCTAGGGCACTAAGGTGAAATACATGAAGTTAGTTGGGGAAAAATGACTATGTGGGAAACTGCGAGAAAGTCAGGGATGGCAAAATAGGTAGGGGAAGGATCGAATATAGGGAGGTGCTTAGTAGAATGGCGAGTGGTAAGGCTACAGGTGAGGATGGGATCCCAATTGAATGTATGAATGCGTCAAGTAGAGAGGTTTTAGAATTGATAAGAATTGCTCTATCAAATTTGGACGAGGCAAAATATAGGAGGGTTGGGAGATATCTAGTATTTTGCTAATTTATAATGATGGGGATGAAAGTAGAGCAGAAAATTACCGGAGAGTTTCACTATTAGATGTAAGATACAAGGTTTTGACCAGCATAATGGCAAATAGATAGAGCAAATGTCTAGATGAATAAAATGTATTAAAAGAGAGTTAAGAAAGTTTTAGAAAAATAGAGGGACAGGAGGGATCATATCTGTGTGTTTAATGCATTAATAAATACTAGATTAAAGACAAAGTGGACAATTTTACGTAGAATCCATAGTTTTTAAAGCCGTTTTCGATTCAGTGAATAGAGAGGTCCAGGTAAATAGAAAGGTAAAGAGAGAGTTTGATACTAATGTAGGGATAACGCAGGAATTCGCTCTAAGTACAATTCTCTTCGATATTTTTATTGATGATCTGGATGATGTAGATTCTTAGGAAAGGACATTGCAATTGTCACAGAATGTGCCAAAGAATAAGAAAACATGTTAGGGACTTTAGTAAAATACGTCGAGAAAAATAAGCTAAGGTAAATGCGAAAAAACTATAGTGATGGCCTTTAGGAACAGAGAGAAAAAAAAAAGAAATTTAAGAGTGAAAAAATTGAAGTTGTAAATGAATTAAAATATCTGGGGATACTGGTTTACGACGAAAAACAGTACAGAGGGGCATATAGGAAGACTGGCAAGAAAGGTGCAAAAGGCGGCCTGGGAGGTGATTAAAAAGACCAGGTGAAATTTAAGAGATGACCG